TATGCATTATCTATGGTTGAGATTTAATTTGATAAGATTCCTCTACTGATCTGATAAAAAATCTAGCTGACGGATCACTAATAAATAGAGCTTGAAGGAAAGATGAAAATGATAGGATACAGGTAACAAAAGTGACATTGCAAATGCACTTCGAAGTATCGATAATTATCTTAAGAAAGACTTCCCAATTTATGCACTTCGAAGTATCGATATCTTAAGAACGACTTCCCATCCCTACAGGCTGTGTTCTGGCTGAGTGGACTAAGCCATCCCGACGTAGGCAAGCCAGGTTCGGAGAAATGCCTCCACCACGCACCCTGGCGGCTTCGGTTGATATTTAATTTTTAAACAATAGACTACTTTGATAATCGGTGAGGTCAGTTTGACCCGATGCGATGATTTGATAATTTTAAGAACTTTCAGTAACACAATTTGGGTATTGCAAGAACGTTTTGTCTCATGGAAAAAAGTAACAACTTAAAAAGCATTGAAACATGGTTGAATATACTTAGAATATTTTTGAACCAAAGTGCACTTTTCGGCAGCGCGGCAGCGTGCATTATTAAAGCAACATAGAACGTTATTGACGAAATATTATATTATTGATAGAATACTTGGAAATAGATACCTACTTACCGAGGCTTAGCGAGAGAACTGACGTGATGATTGCGTTATTGTAACTAATAACTTTGAAAAATACTTAGGCTGAGTTGCACCACTTAACTTTGACCGTAACTTTAACGATAACCAGTGTTTTTTGTATGGATTTTGACAGATTTTTAACATTTGTCCTTAGTGGTAGAGTTATTTATTTTAACAATTGATTTTTACGTGACTTAGAGCTTTAGTTACCGTAGGTATCGTTGGTTGGTTTAAAAAGCTTTACATTATGTAAGAAAGAAAGAAGGAAAGATGTTTATTTGGTACCAAATACCTATCCCACTGTAACTTTCTTAAAATCTTCTGAACTCTACCATATTTTGATAACATTTTGTATGGGAAAGTGCAGAGAAGAAAATTTGTAAAAAAAATATTTAATTTAAATTAAAATATTAGGCCAGTTTGTCTCATAAAATGTTTTAACGAATCATTCAAATAGCTATCAATCCATATTATCCGTTTTCATTGAAAATATCGCCGGCCATGTTTACGAACGTACGCCGGTGTTTTAATTTTTACATCTACGACGAAGTTTCCAAAATACAAGCGTATTTGTCAAACATGTTAATTAATTGTTTAGATGGCCGCTCCATTATTCGGTAGTTTTTGTGCGAATTACGCAAGCCGATTTTTAATGTTTGAAATATTTGATAAAAAAACATGTAACAAAAACCTAATTTATTTATAAAAGCTATCGACATCTTCAATTTAATAAAAAAGTAGGTACCTAGTGTAACAATTGATTAACCTAAAGTTTTTTTTAAAGATATCAGCAAAATTAATTTTGTCCCGAAGCAGTGGTAGGTATTGGGACGTGTAAAAGTGCCTTTAAAAAGCCTTGTTACAAAAATATATGAGTTTTATGATTTTTAATGTGGAATGTAGAGTCTAATATTAAAATAATATTGTTTTTTGTTTATGTGTGTATGCAACTCATTGTTTGTCATGAAAAGATTTTTTGCAGTTTCTTTCTTTCTTCGTGTGATAACTGATTTATCTTAACCACGGTTTTAAAGTAAGAGTTATTTATAAGTAAAGTTTTTATATTCTATTATGATCAAAAAACACTAATATTGGAATAAATAACGTATCTTCACTCTTCTTCTATAATATTTGCATATTTAATCAATAAGTGTAATTTTCCAATTAGTTAAAACGATCCATGTCAAAATTACATTAATTAATACGGTTTTTCAATAATATTCAACATTCATGAAATTCTTTCTATGCCTATGCTCCAATTATGTAAATTAATTTAAATAGGCTTAAATTAATGTGGCAGAAAATTAGAATTTTGTTTTATCTAATCAACTGTTTTAGTAATTAATATTTTGCCGAAACGTCAAATTTGTTAAGAAAAAACCCTAATTAAAAAAATAGCTACTATGCCCCGTCTTTGACCGGGTGCAATGTTGCTTGTTTTAGGAGGTAAAAAACCTTTTGGTCCACATGGGATTGCATCAACATACGAGAACAGTATCTTTCAATAGAAAGTAAATAATTATTTAAAAAATTAATCTATTTATTCTTAGTAAGTTTGTTGTAAGAATCTCTTTTACAACTCATAACTTAAGTAACATAACTTTAAATATTAACCCTTCCACTGCCGACTAAATCAGATTTAAAAATATACGAGTAAAACTTTTTAGAAATTCATTCTAGGTAAGTAAATAGAAAATCCCTTGCCAACCTTTTTAAAATTATTAACTAAGAAGGGGTTTGAGATATATAACCTAATACGTTCTAGTATAAGCAGGTAACCTTTTTACCTTAAAAACTTTTATTACGGATATTATACCTATTATATCACATACCTGTATATTTTCTGTAAGTAACAAAACTTACTTTTTAAACAGCCCTACGCAAAACCTCGTACTTTTGTAGTTTTCTTTTAAATAATATTTTTTGATAGTTAATTAGTTATTTCTCAATATTTACCTTCTGCAACATCGCTCGCGCTCCTTCATCGTACATTATAGTTTTCAAGGGCCTACCGCATTCAAATCATGCTGTTTGTTAACCATGCTTTAGGTTTAAACCACACCACCACATTTTCCATTAAAATGTTAATTTAACGCAAACACCACACTTACCTAAACAATTTAACTATCTGCAATTTTAATCACCCTTTTTAACCGCTCTTAACACTAAAACACACACTACAGTCACAAAAGTGTTAACCGAAATTTAATCCGATTCCGAATTCAAAAAGATACCGGTTTTAAGTTTTTAATACGATTGAAGCGCGTAGGGAAATTAAAAAAAATCGGTAAACAATTGGACAACTAACAAAGCTGTGCCTCGTAGCTATCCGAAGCTATACTGAAATTCTAAACCCTGACTTCGGTGTCCATATCGTGCACCCCCCATTACTGGATTTCGTGTTACACGTAAAAGGGCGTAACTGCAGACTTCATCAATCCAAATTCAACTCTAAAACGTTGATCACAAAGTTGAAAATCAAATGGTTGCAATCGAATGTAGAGTCATTGTAGCTTGGATCGCGCACGGCACAAGGCTATGAGAACGTATAATTTAAAGACGGAGCGCACAGTCCCACTGGTGAACTATAGTCGTCTCTTTCCCGCGTATAGAGCGCAATTCGCAGCTTTCTGCGCTGCTCATTTTTTCGCTATTCCACTCAAGTTACATATTATTTCATGAATTAGATTCTGTGTTGGTGTCAAGTTAAACGTACCTGGCGTTTCGTGGGATGCCTCTGGAAACAGGTTGTAGCTCTTTAGTATAGTTTACAATTGCCTTTGCTATTACATTAGCCTTTGTATCTTCTTCTATATATATAAAAATGAAACCCGTTTCGCGTTGTCACGGCATCACGAGTGAACGGCTGAACCGATTTCGATAATTCTTTTTTTTAAATGTTTGTGGAAGTCCAAGGATGGTTCTTACGGAAAAAAATATTAAGAAAATCTCTACGCTAAGGCGGTACGAAGTTCGCCGGGTCAGCTAGTTGAAAATAAAATCTAAAGCGACTCCTACACAACCCTTTTGCTTTTTGAGGGTTGAGTTGTTTATAAAATTTTGTACACGGCGTTTGTTGAAAGTTTTTTTATATAGTACTTTTAAGTAAATATTCAAGTAGGTAAGAAGCGTTTTGTCAAGCTTTGAGCTGTTTAATAAGAACTCTATTATTTGGTGTCATATTTACTTAGTATGTATTACTGATAATGATGATACCGTCGCTAGTTTATCAGTCGTGAATAGTGATATTTCAATAAATTTTCGAACTTCAAGCGACCATAGAGAGCTTAACAAACAGCTTCTTTTCAGCACTTGCCCATTTATTGTCCCGAAGCAGTGGTAGGATTAATACTGGGACGTGTAAAAGTGCTTATTAAAAGCCTTTTTGCAAATATATAATGACTTTTTAGTTATACACCATCAATCGATTTAAGCTTTATGTGTCACACTGCCAAAAAGGTGCATCGGTCTAACATTTACATAGCTGAAGTAGGATGTAGGTACGTTAATGTTAGTAAGTTTCTTCTAAGTTTTCGTTTTAAAACCTACGCAATTTACGTTTATTCAAAAGCCTCTCGATTTGTTTCAGTTAATCGCATATCGCCCCATATCAAGTTTAAGCCTTCTCTGTTTTAAAATTAATGTTTTAATTGGCGTTCACTAAGAGCGAACTTAATACGTGTCTAAATTAAGAAAATGTAGAGTCACTTGACATTCATCTTCACCTTTAAACCAAATAGAACAATGGAAAATAGGTTTGCGAACTAATTATTGAGTTCAGAATCAAAATCAAAATTATCTTTATTTGTTTAGACTAATTAAAATAGTACTTGCAAATCGTTAAATGCTCTTAAGGAGCCTATACATGTCTCATTCTTTTTTTGCCCTACCAGCACTTCGAGACAAACATTTGGCAAGTGCTGAGAAGAAGCGCTGCAACAAACTCAGTCACCACTGTCTGCCGGTTTAAGTTGTTATATCAATGATTTTCTTTATTCACTGAATCTTCTGTGAAGTTAGGATCTACAGTTGGATGATGGGTCCAATAGACCACAACCAGTGAAGGTAGAGTTAGTATCGGATATAGCAAATCAGCATTTGGACTTCCAAAGGTACTTATCAGAAAAAAAATAAGTGCGTAGTTGTAGTTCGTTTTGTAAACAAAGGTACTAGATTTAAATCCGTGGTATACGGTACATTAAGAAATAGGTACCACTACCTACTATTTAAGGTATATGAATTGTGTAAGTTTTATCTTTAAAATCCAGGTACTAATAAATGAACATAATTCGTTGTAAATGCGAAACTTACACCAAGACGCGAGCTTAAGAAAAAGCTTGCAATAAAAAGCTGTATTCTGAGAATGGTTGCTTTATTACAAAATCCTTTTAAATTACTTATTTGAACAGAATATAAAAATACAAAAAATCAGTAAACTTTGTCGTTATTTGATTTTGTTCTTAGGTACGGTGAAGCAGTTTATTTTGTAGTGGACGCATAGTTGTCGTACCTGTAAATAAAAGTCTAGATTAAGTAAAAATGTAACTAATCGCAATGATACTATAGTATCATCATCAGGTCATTTAGTCTCCACTGCAGGACCCTCTAATTTACCATAGGCAATGATTTGGTCCATAGCTGATGGCCGCTGAGGCAGGAAAGTTCTTGAGTGGAGACCACGAGCCGGAAGACGTAGCGTGGGCAGGCCTCCCACCAGGTGGACCGACGATCTGGTGAAGTCGCGGGAGGTCCCTGGATGCGAGCGGCGCAGGACCGGTCTTTGTGGAAATCCTTGGGGGAGGCCTTTGTCCAGCAGTGCACGTCTTTCGGCTGAAACGAACGAACGAATGATTTGGTCTACACTGTCCCCGCGCTGTCCAGACGGATTGGGATCGGGAGGTCTAAAGTTCGCATATTTGTCCCTTAGTCGCTTTTTACGACATTTATGGTATTTTGTCAGGACCACACGGCCTTCACGGCTAAGGTTTCAGTAGTTTCCTCATCAGTCAGACAGTTTTGACAGTTCCAACTCCTTGCCAGACAGTTTTTTTAGGATAGCTGCCAAAGCCACGATGACCCAAACTTCATGATTCACCAACATTCTAACCTATATGGGAGCATACGCTGACAAACTTTCAGCTTTTATAAAATGTCTGATGAAATTTATAGGTCTGGCGTTCACTAGCTCTTAATCTATAGTGGTAATTCTTGGTAGTACCTAATGAGTTATGTTAATTGGGCATTTCCCTGAAATATTGACTCTCACCTTTAATAAATTGTGTCAATTAGTAGCCAAACTTTACGGTAAAGACTGGGATGGGTGGAACGCATTTGATGGTTTGATAAGAAAGATTCTGTATTTGGAGAGATTAATTAAAATTCGTTGGACATTCATGATTGGGGCAGTGGTTTTACGTAAAATGAACCATACATTAACTCATTAAGTTACTCATTTTTTTTACTTAACAAACTTTTAGCATTTTTAACACATGTGAAATTCATGTTGTGTGGCTTTACTTAATGTATGGAATCTGGAAAAATTGAAATTTTAGATAGTTCTAGTTTATCAGAAACCTATATTGATACTGTTTGAAAGAACACGTGAAGCACTTTCAGGATCAGTCAAGTCAAAGTCGTAACCAACCAGTTTTTCAATATCTTGAAGTTTCGAAATAATAGAGTGAGATCACTTAATGGTGTCTATACTGTATAGATAAACTTAAAGATAGGGTCCTTACCACACATACACCATAATGCAAGTGCCCAGCCAGACTGAACAGTAACAAGCTGTACATAGCGGGCACTTCCAGGTGTGGCCAGTAGAGCGAGACGGCAACACCTGTGAGAAGAGGCCAGCACATCCAGGTGATGACGTCACACCGCTGCCTGCTCATCTCTGCCATTATTAGGCGACACTGTTGGGGAAAAAGAGTCTATAATTCTCAAATAAAATAAACTATAGTGTTAAGGTTTAGCCAAACCAACGCGATCACACGCGATCAGCCGGCGTGCAGCGATGGCGTTCAGACTTAAATGCATTGATCGCCATCGCTGCACGCTGGCTGATCGCGTTGGTTAGGCTGAACCTCTGATTCGGAGCAGACTACAGATAGCACTTGCCGATAGCACAACGTGTCCTTCACAATATTGTGAAATACACAATCGGTAAAGCAAGACTTTAATATATCGCCTATGTGATAGAGGCAGAAAAATAATTACTATAGGATGTCACTAAGCAAGTCAATAAATTTACATTATTCACACACGCACTACAGAAATACCTATTCTATTGTAATAATAATTGTTCTTTAAAAAATATGGAAACGCTAGTTTATCATGCCTTTGAAATAAATGGTTTGAAGTGATTCCAACATTAATTTCTATTTCCCAAGTTTTATACCAATAAATATTTATATCAAATAAAGACTTTGTATTATATTATATTCAAAAGAGCAGGAACAAGTTGTACTCGTGTAGAGTTCTGTTTATAGCGAATCACATTAATCTACATAAAACATAAATTTTTACCTAAAAATACTCAGAACCAATTATTTATGACACTTCAAGTTTCTCACTTACCGATATATGACTAAAGTACGTCCCATACAACAGCACAAACGCTTTAGGGTCGTACTCCAGTACGTTGCCAGGCGACTTGACAGCCCACGCTATGATAGCTGCGGTCATCACTAGCATAGACCACACTGGTCTAAGGGTTTGTATGAGGGACTTGTGGAGGGCTGACTTGGTTTTATGGGCTCTGAAAAAAGGACGATTGTGATTTAACATGGCCTTTGTTAAATGCTTTAACTTTATAGGTTGTTTTCTTATAGCAAAATAAAAGTCATAAAAATAATTTATTTTCTGAAAAAGGCTTTTAGGAAGGGCTTTTACTCGTATCAGTATCGGTATTACTTACCACTGCTTCGGGAAATGAAACCAGTGCTGAGAAGAAGCAATTGCAAGAAACTCAGTAAATGTATTTATTCATCTAGGTACATTATGTTTGCATTCATGAAAATAGTGATTAGGTATGCATTTTCTGTTGCCTAATTTCTGAAAAATTGGGAAGTCCATGCTCGACAAATAGTGTTTCCATTTGAATTCCATCTTGAAACATTTTAATTCTAATCCAGGCTAGTGAATTGTTATAATTCAGTCATCATAATTTCAGCTACAGGACGTCCGCTGCTGAACATAGGCCTTCCCCAATGATTTCCACATGATACGAGGTCGTCGGTCGACCTTGTGAATGGACGAAACCCACTGCGTTTTCCAGTTTTTCTTGTGTTTTAGAAAAAATTCGTTATTACAATACACAAAACACTTACAAATACACATTATACACCGCTATAGGTAGCGTGGACACCAGTCCCGTGACATGGACCACCACCTCCAAAGCTTGCACGAAGGTCACCTGCCCGAAGATGTAGGATCGGAACACGGCAGGTCCGTATATGCCTGGCGCTAGGTACAGCATTGAGGATGCCTGGTGAAGAATCACATTTGAATTATTTATTTTTCTTAATTAAATTTCTTTATTTTTGTATGGAATTTAACATACTTTTAACGTTTGTTTAAGAACCCATAATATGCCCAGTTAACGATCCAATGGTTAAAAAAACCGTAAATATGCCAAATTACATAAAAATCTGATACCTAAATAGTTCTGGGCATACTTATATGGGTTAAATTTGACAGTGGGACCAGTTGCTGGAAGAAAACATATTTATAAAGTCAATTCTACGACGGGACCGTGGGCCAAGTTAAAATGTGCTAACGGAAGGCTTACACATGAAATTAATCGAAGTACAATGAAATAACAATGAGAATATTTGAAGAGGAACTATTAAAGACAATCTTAGGAAAGTAGGTTCATCTATTTAACTTCTAAGCCCTTTTTATAACTGGATTTTTTTTTAACTACTTAAGTATGACTATTAAATAAGGTTTACCGTGCAATACATACCCACATGCTAAGGTCATATCCCCACGGCAAGTATAACGTCCCAGTGCTGTACTTCTCCCAGTGGCTGACGTAAAAGTTAAGGCACACACTGATGACCAGGCATAAGCCTCTGAAACAATTCGTGAATAACACTGAAAAACGCTAGAAATATAAAGTACTTAATTAAATAATGCAATGCCTTTTAAACTGCGATCTCCAACCCGCCTGCCTAGCGTGGAGATTATGGCAAAACCCTCCACTATAGTGGAGGAGGCTCATAGTCCAGCAGTGGACTGTAAAGGGCTGTTGATGATGATGAAATAATGCAAAAATACTATCAATGAGTTTTTTTATCCACCATGAGAAAGCTCTTGGGCTGCATGCTACCTGATGGAAAGTGATGACCAGGCCGAAGGTGGAAGCGACCTTCACCCGGAATAGTCAACCACAGAGGAACTGTCTATCTTACCCCCAACTCCCGGAACACAACAATGTTATGGCCACTTGGTAGCTTGTCAGGTATAGCTAACTCAACAAGCTCTACCACCAACTTAACCTAACAGAAAATTTTGCCCTCATTGGGCATCAAACCTGGGACCTCTGGCTCTAAAGGAGCTAGACAGAGCTAGAAAAATAAATAAAATATTGTAGAAGAACTTTAAGCCTCACCTTAGAGTGGGAAGTGTGAACTCATGGTCCCTCCCAAACACAGCCATCAGTCCGTAGGGTATAAAGAACACCACGTAGGAGTCGATCCCGTGGTCGAACAGCTCTCCCAGGGGACCCGACACTCCCAGTCTCCTCGCTTGCTTGCCGTCGATGCCGTCTGTCAACATTAAATAAATTATGATAGCATGAAAAAGTGCTTCTTAAAAGCCTACTTGCAAAAATAGAATTAGTTTTATTAGATTTTATGAGTTTTTATGTGTCTCATCAACTGTTACAAGGTGAAATCGACATTAACTAAGATTTTGACCGTGATTCCGATAGTGGACATTCCCATTCGTCCCGTGGATGTCGTTAAACGTAATTCAAATAGTGAACAATTATGCGAACATCAGACCTCCCCAACCCGCCTTGCCAGCATCCTCTATTTGTTTAGAAAGGAAGGCGCTGGTCGCTACCAACCGGTCAATTTGAAAATCATTGGTGGAGGCCTATATTCAGTATTGGATGCCCTGTGTCGCTGAAATGATGATGATAATTAAGAAAATTACATACAGAAACAATATTTTTCTGTCAACAACAAAAACCAAAATTGTTTGGTGATTTAGAGAGGGTCGTGCTCCTCCGCATCCCCTCTGAAGTGGAGACTAAATTACCTACTGATGATGATGATGATGATCATGATGACTATATAGTATCATCAACAGCCCTTTACAGTCCACTGCTGGACTATGAGCCTCCTCCACTATAGTGGAGGGTTTTGCCATAATCCCCACGCTTGGCAGGCGGGTTGGAGATCGCAGTTTAAAAGATTGATGTTTTTCAGAGAGCGCTGCTGCCCGTTCTCTGTTTGATGTGTGGACCCTAAGTCGCCTCTTACGACACCCGCGGGAAGAGTAGGGGTTGGTGACAAATGTATTCTACTCTGCCGTCACCACACGGCACTATATAGTAATTTAAGACATTTACCGACCTAAATTGTATGCCAAGAACAGGCACACGCCACACGCCGTGTATACCCACGCTGGGACTCGAACCCCGTGCTCTCCCATTGGACCTCTGCACTCGTAGTCGAACACTCCGAGGAGCACCACCAGGGTCACCATAAGGACGAACCCTGCGAACGTTATGAGGTTCGGCGCCAGCCATTTTGGGAATATCTGTAAGAAAAGTGTGCATTTTACAAGACAATAAATACAGGGTGTCCCAAAAAATTACAATATATTCCCTATAAAATTTCTTTTAAAAAATCATAACTCGAAAATTATCAAAAATCGCAGAACATTGTGATTCGGGTAGCGCTAGTGTTGCTCTACCTCTGAGTTTGGAGTTGACACTATAGTTTGACAAGGATAAACCACTTTTGAAATAAAAAGAATTGGTAATCGGGCTGTTAATCAATACATAAATGAACATTTAAAGAAGTACACATTCTACACTGATTTGGTATCGGCCGAACCCTCATTCATTACAAATTGAAAGACAAAACAGTTGGCCGACTAAAAGTCTATCTGTGGGGATTCTTATCTTTTATACCGAGAAATTTGGCAAGCGGAAGGTCGTGGGTTCAATTCCCGCCTTAGGCAGTTCGATTTTTTCAAGTTATTTATAATTTTCAAATCTGTGACTCGTCTTTGCGTAGAATTATGTCGCTAGGCTCGCTCGCTGTGTATCAATCTTAATGTAACAAATATCTAGGTCTGCCTAGCTAGATTAACATATAAATACATATATACCTTCACACTGGTGTTCCAGAACGGATGCATCACATAATTGCTCAATGGGCTGGTGTCGATTGCACTGTACTGAAATATGGTATAGCCAATTAAACTTCTAAATTAACACATTCATATAAAATATCGTCCTGGGAATAGCTGAAAACATTGAAATTTCGTATAGATTTAGTTTATTCTGTAACCTATTATTGATACAGTTCGATAGAGCTTATAAAGTACTTTCAGGATCAGTAACCAGTTTTTCGATATCTTGTATAGTTTAGAAATAATCGAGAGAGATTACTTATCGTTTCCACCCTGTATATTAAGTTTGAAGATATTGATCGGGAAGCACATAGATGCGGGTAGCGCAGGACCGATCGTTGAGAAAATCCTTGGGATGGCCTTTGTCCAGCAGTGGACAGCATTTGGTTGACATTATCAGCATTTTAGACTGAGGTAGTCCACTGCTGGACGTAAGGAATGACAACTTTATTTAATTTTAATTTTCCCCGGGGACAAATTTGTGGGAATAGTCCCGTTTATTGGACGTAAGGAAAACCACAAAGAACGTTCTCCTACTTTTCACACTCAGCTGCTAGCTATTATATTAGACTGTTTTGTTTACTATAAGGTCTTGTTCTAACGGAGACATCCCGTTTTTTACAGGACCTGTTTTATGCAGAATCCCGTTTAGTTTTAAGCATTCCCGTAGCGATGTCCCGTAAAAAACCTATCCGTTCGAATTTGTAATTGGACCCTGCATTACTGGATTGCCGGTGGGAACGGGCCCTAACGCCCGTAGTCACAAACATTACTATGAGGTCTCACAGTGCGCGTGGACACACAGGGTGACACACGAACCAATCACAGAGCTCTATACAACGCTGTGCGTTCCATTTGCTGCTTCACTTAAGCAAGCATCGTTTGTGAACACGGGCGTTATTTTACAAGATTTTAGGTAACCGAATCTTTATTGTAACTATTAAGTAATCTGAAAAGTACTTACTTTGTGCTTTTCAAGTCCTTTAAAATGGTTCTTGTTGAGGTACTTATAGTTGAAGATCCTTTCCATTTTGATTTGAATAAATAACTTTCTATTTATATAAACACTAAGAAAATACCTCCAGGATTTTTTGTCAAAAACAAAATGTAGTCACTCTTCATTTATAAATGAACATGTAATTTCACATGATCGTAAACGCCCTACACAGTTAAAAATAAAATCACTGTAAATTCGATTTGATCTTAAAATACAATTTAAAATACTTTAAATACTACACATAATATTCCTTCGCTGTTTTGAACGCGTGTATACTCTATCAGTTGGGTGGCCTGATAGTGACAAATATACAAGATATAAATGTATATTATACAAGATATAGTGAAGTGAGATAATACCAAAGACTGATGACCTAATAAAGTGTGTAGTGTGTAGTGGGTACGATAGTAGAAGTTCTGTTAATCAAAGATAATTTTTAACAATTTTTAATCAACCATTCCACTAAGATTAGGCTACATGTGTGGTATTTCGATTAGGACACTGGTAGGTATAAGTAGAATACTGTGGTAATGCTACTATAATATTGTAAATGCTAAAGTTTGTATGGATGTCTGGATGTCAACATGTTTGTTACTCTTTCACGCAAAAACTACTGAACGGATTTTGATGAAACTCTACAGTATTATTTTTTACTAGCGGCCGCCCGCGACTTCGTACGCGTGGATCCCGTTTTACCCCCTTCATCTATCTTACGCGGTTTAGATTTTTTCATACAAATGTTTTTTTCCGCTAACTCCCGTTCCCGTGGGAATTTTGCAATATCCTGTTGTAACTAAGCTTCAAGTTTACTAAGGTACCTGCATGCCAAATTTCAAGCGTCTAACTTAAGCGGTTTAGATTTTTCATACAAATGTTTTTTCCCGCTAACTCCCGTTCCCGTGGGAATTTTGCAATATCTTGTTGTAACTAAGCTTTAAGTTTACTAAGGTACCTGCATGCCGAATTTCAAGCGTCTAACTTAAGCGGTTCAGATTTTTCATACAAAACGTTTTTCCCGCTAATTCCCATTCCCGTGGGAATTCCTAGGTATCCTATAACCTGCCCAGGAGTATGAAGAATAATTGTACCAAGTTTCGTTAAAATCCGTCGAGTAGTTTTTGTTTCTATAAGGAACATACAGACAGACAGACAGACAGACAGACAGACAAAAATTTTACTGATTACATTTTTGGCATCAGTATCGATTACTAATCACCCCCTGATAGTTATTTTGAAAATATATTTAATGTACAGAATTGACCTCTCTACAGATTTATTATAAGTATAGATAACCCAGAATAACATATAGGCTATAATTTATGACGATCTGTGACAAACTAAATTTCACGCGGGTGAAGCCGCGGGCAAAAGCTAGTACTCAATACTTAATTGCATCCATAAATGTAACAAGAGGTATTATGGTAATAAATTATGCTAAAAAAAGATAGGTCGGGCACGGCGTTTTAATTTGTTAAAGGAGATTATGTAGATCGATTAGATAGAGATTATAAGCAATAAAGAATTTGAATTTGATAGAAATAATAGTTATGGAACCATATTTATTTTTGTACTAAGCTGGTCTGGTAGATTCTAGACTGCAATCGTCTTAACTAAGTTTCTCTGCTTGACCTGTGGTTGACTGGTAGAACTAGAGAACGTCACCCGGCATTATGTATGTCCGTCAATGTACGTCACTTTTATGTTCAAAAGCTTAAATAAATAAAGTGAACAAATACCTATGTACAAAATGATTGTATAGAGCTATGAACCATTCTACATCCGAATAAAAATTGACAGAGTCCGACCTGACTTGACAGAATGAGGGTTTTCGCGTATGAAAGATCCGCTAGATGGCGGGTCGTGGATGTGGGGTCTGACTGCTGCGTGATTGGTGGATTTTGACATATCTGTCAATGTCATGTCAAAAATAACCAATAATAAAATTATGCAGCATTTGGACCTCGCGTCTACGTATTGCCATCTGGCGGATTTTTTATTCGCGAAAACCCTCATTGATTATATTTTTTTAATTAAGTTGATGTGTCTTGAAATTATGGTGTCATCTATATTTAAATACTTAGCAAAATTCTCCAAAAGTACCAGGCCCCCATAATGCCGCAAGAGTATCTCCACTCGATCGATACGACACCTGTGCGTTGCCATGGCGACGGCGGGAGGGCGCCACCCGACACGCGCGCAATTTGAAATTCGAACCGCCCCGATAACAGCTTCCGAGGGAATTATACGTAATTTCCCCTTCGAATTGTGTTGTCTTTTTTGTAATTAAAGATTTGGTTTTGAAATAATTGATAGTTATGGGTCTGTCTTGTCTATGTAATCATCATTATTTCAGTCCACTATTATTAGACGTTACGTCTCTACCAAGACACTAGTTTTTTCAGTACAACTGGCCCTGTGATCTAGCCCTTCAAACCAAGCCCTAAGCACGGTCACTATGAAATTGATTTCTATTGTATCGATTCGCGGGTACTTGAAGGGCAAGAGGTAACTCTATGGTCTACGGTAAAACTATCTGTCTCAGACCCAGTAGTCCTGGATTCTGAAAGCTGAAATTTTGTCAGCGCATGCTTCCAACATAGGTAAGAACGTTGGACAATCATGAAGTTTGGGCAGTTATTAGATGTTGTTCCCTCATGAAGTCATGAGCCAGATAGTTTTGACTGTTCCAACCCCTTCCCCGACAATTATTTTAGGGTAGCTGCCAAAGCTACCGTGACCCAAACTTTATGTTCGTCTAACGTCCAATCCAACTTTTCCTACTAATATTATAAATGCGAAAGTTTGGATGTCTGGATGTTTGTTACTCTTTCACGCAAAAACTACTGAACAGATTTTAATGAAACTTGATTGTTTATAACCCAGAATAACATATACGCTATAATTTATGACGACCTGTGACAAACGAAATTTCATACGGGTGAAGCCGCGGGCTAAAGCTAGTATAAAATAACATAGGTTTGGCGTTCACTGGCTCTTAGTCTATTTTTATTTAGAAGAGTTTTTTCTATTTCATTTAACATATAGTCATAAACATGTGTATTACCCACACTTTGCTATACAACATCGTTTATTAGCTAAATTAATGCACCGTACATTTGCTTCATACTGCGTAGTTTTATGACTCGACTGATTTCATACAATTTGAGTGCGTTCATAATATTTTAAGTGCCGTTACAATGAATTGTAACTAGCATGGATAATAACTACATGGCTTGTTGGTGCGTACCTGACTATAATGTTGAAGATGCGAGTTCGAATCCCGTAGGTAGTTTAATTTTATTTCGTCCGCTCGTTTCAGCACAATTACGTCAACTGCTGGACAAAGGCTTCCCCCAAGGATTTCTACAACCATCAGTCCTGACTCCAGCGCTGCCCGCATCCTGGAGCTTCTCGCTTAATTTTATGATGATCATTATTCCCTGAGTCTTGATTTTGTTGTCTTATCATCATCATTAGGTCATTTAGTTTCCACTGCAGGAGCTCGACCCTATATTTACCAGAGACAAATGGAGGATTTGGTCTACACTCCCCACACTGGCTAGACGGGTTGGGAAGCCTGATGTTCGCATAATATTTCTCCCTTAGTCGCCTCTTGACATCCACGGGAAGCAATGGTGGTCCTATTCTACTATGCCAAAACCACGACTCAGCAATGATAAGCAACTTTGCTCAATTTTTTAGGAAATCCAATAGTTCACATATACACTGTATCCAATGACAGTCTTTTCCTCGAGATAAACTTGACCTTCATTGGTTGGGTTTTAATGGCGGTCAAGCTGTAGATCCTGGCTACACAGGAGTTGCAGCGCGGTGGAAACGAGAGGTGGGAATAGTCCCGTAGTTTAATAAATGTAAGTATGCTTAAGTACACGTGCACTATCAACTAACCTGCCATTGGATATCCAACCTAGCACTAATTATGCATTTTGTTTTCGGAGAAAAGTCAGTATTCTTCACAATATTTGCCCATGCATCCATAGCATGTCCAAATAATTTCAGATAAGCGGTCTCTACAAAACAAGTTTGTTTTGACCAAACTGCGAATTATTTATAGAAATCAATAAGATAACTGCTGCAACTGCGTATGGTTCAGTCAGTGTCACATAAGACTTTTTTGTTCAAAAATAGCATCTATTATTACTTACATAAGATGCCAATTGTGTATAACTCTCCGTAGTGCATATATTTTCTTAAAGGTACATAAACCTTTGTTTCGTCACCTGTCATCCGCTTTGCACTGGAGGGAAGTCAAACCTTAACTTCGAATTCCTCCTATGTTTCGTTGCGGGTCCAATGACAGTTTAACTTTCCCCCTGGACAAACTTGACCTTCATTGGTTGGGCTTTTATTGGCGGTCAAGCTGTAGATCCTGGCTACACAGGAGTTGCAGCGGTGGGAACGAGAGGTGGGAATAGTACCGTGTACAAACACTAAACCTACAATGTAGTAATTGAAAATGCATCGGGGTGTCTTAGTCCTAAAAAGGATTTAGGACGCTATTTGGATCAAATATGTAATTGCTCAATAATGAATAATAAATAAATAAATAAATAAATAAATAAATAGTAAGAAAAAAATTATGATCTTAGCAAGAAATAAAATGTTTGCTTGTCTTTAAAAGTACTGAAAAGTAATATTGTTAGATTAGGCGACGCCTTTCTGTGATGAACTCCGAAGAACTCTGTGACTCTACAATATCCAAATAAACGAGGTAAGATGCTGTGAAACGACAATTTTGTCGCGGGCAGACGCAAAACGACAATTTAGCCGCGGCCAGACGCTATTAAGAGCGTTGTCACATTTTTCATGCAGAAATCGAGAATTTGGCAGATTTCGAAATGATTTTAGTCATATAATTTATTGTTATAGCTTCTTTTGACTTATATCACCGTAATTATCATACGTTTTTACGGAATGTCTATTGACAAAATCTCGTTCAAATTGGATTTTTGCCTACGAAAACAGCGAATTTCGAAAGCTCGATTTCCAGGTAACTCGCGAAGGCACAACTTTGAACTAATATTACAACAAATTTATTTCTAAGTAAGAAGATAGAATGTATTCATTAGAATAAGCATACCCTGAAGAAGAAAGTGTATTGAGAAAATTTTGATGTTTAATTCATTAAAATGCATTTTTATCATGTCTAAGATAGTCAAAATTCGAGAAAATTACTGCAAGAAAACAGGTCACATCTCATAATCTAAAAGTCATTTGGCAACATAAACTACTTTATACTTAAGAAGAAACATAGTACTATTATTGTGTGAAAAAGAAAAAATATCTATCTTCAATCTTCAAATGAAAAATTAATTTGAAAATACTATA